CATCTACTATGTGTCTTATTTTATCTATTCTTCATATGAACTCAATGAAATAGATGCTATTTCCACATCATAGGGGGGGAAACAGATCCTCAGAGAGATTAATTTGCCTATGTTGATTTAGCTAGAAAATTTAGTTCAAAAGAGAATAAAACAATGCAATTCCACCATTCCAAAAGAACTATCTTTAAATTTTAAGCAGAGTAAGGAAAAGGACATTATTTATAATTTTTTGTTATTGTTGAGACAAGGTCTCACTATACAGACCTGTTACCCTGGAATTCACTCTGTAGACCAGGCTGGTCTCAAATTCACAGAGATCTGCTTGCCTCTGCCTCCCGAGTGCTGAGATTTAAACTATGCCTGACTCATTTTTATAATCCTAAAACGCTCAACAAAGTCCCAGTCTGGGCTGGAAGGAAAGCTCAGTTTGTAAAATATGCTTTGCAAGGGTGAGGATTAGCATGTGATCCTTAAAACTGATGTTAAAAAAGCTGGGTGTGGTGGCCCATGCTTATTACAATCCCTGCCGTTGGGGACAGAGACAGGTGACTCTTGGAGCTTGATCACTAGCTTGCACAGCCCACTTGATGAATTTGAGACCACTGAGACACCCTGTCTTAATGTAAAAGTAGACAGTATTTAAGGAATGACAGCACCCCTTGGGATGGTACTCCAGTCTCCATACGCTCACATGTACATACATATACACATAGATGCACATACATTATACACACACAAAAGATAAGGAAAGGGTTTTATAAAGGTTTCAAAAATAGAGTGTGAAATAATATTTCATAGTTCACACATACGAACATGCACACACACACACACACACACACACACACACACACACACACATTAGTCAACAAACACTCAAAGGACATTTATTTAAGAGTTGAGCGTATGCTGAGTGGTGGTGGCTCAGGCCTTTAATCACAGCACTGGGGAGGCAGAGACAGGCAGATCTCTGTGAGTTCGAGGCCAGCCTGGTCTACAGAGAGAGATCCAGGACAGGAACCAAAACTACATGGAGAAACCCTGTCTCGAAAATATCCCCCCCCCAAAAAAAAGGAATGAAGCATATTCTACAAAAACATTATTTAGCTCACTTACAAGGTGACTGGATTATATTCCTTTGCCTTGAAGGCTGATTGCTGCTTCCTCCTTCCTTCCCACATAGCTGACTGTCCAGAAGACATTTTCTACCCACTGATGTCTGAGACCATGACTATATAGAAATCCTGGCTGTAGGGATAACTATCACACTTCCTCTGCTCAACCATTTACTTTAAAAAGATGACTCTCTAGAGGATTCATTCTTAGGCTTTAAAAATATACATTTTAAGGAAAATTTTACTGAACTTCTTCATGCTTCAGAGAAATGTCTTGGAAGAGCTGTACCTCTGTCTCAAAAGACGTCTTTCTCTTTGGTCCAGGTGGATTTATAATTATCCTTAATAAAATGACAATTAAAATTTTTATTAGCATATATCAATTATACATAATAATGGGTTTACTTAATGACATTTTCATACATGCATATAATGTATTTTGATAAAATTCACCCTTCCATTATCCTCTCTTGTCCTTTCATATTTCTGCCAATTCCTTTCTTCTTCTGAAACAGCCCCCATTCTGCATTAATATCTTTTTGTTTTCAGTGACCCAGTATGTTTCACTAGAGTTGCTCATGGGAGCTTGGACACCACAAGTAGTGGTTACACCACTGGGGAAAAAAACAAACAAACTATGCTTTTGACCTCTGCCTCTCATTGCAGAATTCTTGACATTTGAAATAGTGAGATATACCTTTCTTTGGAACTTTCCTTTTCTTTGTTAGTTTCCTTTTCTCACAATGGGTTTTTTCCCCCAGAAGTCTTGGCTGAGTACTCTATGGTCATTAATACTGAAACACAGGCTTTGAGGTATAGTCCGTTCTCATTCATTAATTCCTTACCACAGTGAGATAGAGTTTCTTTAGTTGCTTTCCCTCTTCATGTGGGATCAAATATTTGAAATGGATCAGACTCAAAGCAGAAATACCACAGCTTTCACTCACTCATGGATCGTAGATTTTGTTTAGGTACTAGAAACACACACACACACACACACACACACACACACACACACACACACACACTTAAAGTAGAAGTGAGATTGTCTGGGGAAATGAAAAAGAATAGTATGAGAGGAACAGGAATGAAAAGGAAGGGTAGGCTGTGTGTGAATAGGTCAAATTACATGGTATTCCTGTATGAAAATGTCTTTATGAAACCCATTACTGTGCATATGGATATAGGCCAATAAAATCATACATTAAAAACACATAGATGCTGAGGATCATAAAACATTATAGCTGTTCTTCCATTTGCAGTGGGGCTACCTTGCAATAAGCTCCTTGTAAAATAAAGTATTGTGAGCTGAAAATACATTTAATCTGATTAACACACCTAACCTCATACAGCCTAGCAACATAATGCGCTGTAGAGCATCGGCTATCATTCCTTGTGATGATGTTGCTCTCTGGGTGCGGTGGCTCACTGCAGCTGCCCACTGGGGTACAAAGTTGTGTGGAACATCTCTTAAGAGATGCACTGTAAAATAAGCACCATAGTTTGTGCTAAGTCCATATGTGCAAATATGTCCAACTGACCTGTGAGAGTGCCTGTTTGGTGTACTTAAAAGATCATATGCCATGGTAAATTAGAGAAAGACTACAAAATTCGACAGACATTTGGCCATTGTTCCTAGAGATTTCACCACATGATGTGAAGCACTTCATGTCACGGTGAATAAAATACTTCTATAGTATCCTTGCGAGGAGGACCAGAGGTGTAGCTTGATGGTAGGTACTTGGCAAGTATGTGTAAATCACATTTTTGAATTTGGTCCTAGACACCAGGAAAAGTAAATAAATGGAGTCAACTGTGGGTAGTTAAATTACCCCTTAGTAAGGCTGAGGTAGAAAAGGGTCCTTTACAAGGCAAATATACTCCTGTGGGATGATGAGAAGAGTAATCGCCCATGTGTAATGTTGATGCATACTTGAGTCATGCGTAATATTGCTACCAACTATAGCACGCACCATTTCAGACAACTCAGAGGTGATCATAATGCGCTCTAGAAGACCATTAGCAGTCTCAAAGTGTGGATCCTGTGAGGATAATGACACTATGGTGAAGCTGCATACGAAGAATTTAAATAAAATTATTTCAAGGACTATGAGAGCATTGGAGAATGATGGATTAGATTTAGGTCTGGTGACAGACACTGACAACACCAGCACCTGAGAGGAGGAGGCAGAAGGGCCATGAGTTCAAGGCCCTCCTCAGCTACATAGTGAATTGAGACATGAGACCTTGGTCCAAGGAACTAATCATGTTACCAACCAGCTCATCAGGAAAAAAAAGATGCATTGATATTAACATATTTTGAGTTTAACATACCAGAATATGAAATTAGCTCTTTTTTGTCTTTAAATGAGCATTTATCAGTGGAAGTTGACTTTATATAATTTAGACGCTTCTTATGGATAACATAGGGGATTTGTGTTTTGGGCCACCATTAATTCTGCTGTATGTACTTAAGGGGACTTAGAAACTAACCACAGTAAGAGCAGTGGTACATTAAACAAAATCAAGTCTCTTTGGAATACTGAGTCTGGCATTTTTATGTAGTTCATACATAACTTTGTTTTCTTATGAGAACAACTCAAGAATATCTCATTCTATTGATCTTTAAGCTTCCACATTATAACTTCCTCGATGAACAACTTTATCTGTTTTGATACACCAAATTCAAATACTCGCACAAGTCCTGTAAATTTCTTCTTGCTGCTAAAACAACAACAACAAAAAACCCCAACTCTCTAAATTTTGTGTTGTTTCATCTTCTGGTACAATTAAAAAATTGTGTGTGTGTGTGTGTGTGTGTTTGTGTGTTTGTGTATGTGTGTGTGTTTGTATGCATGCATGTGTGTGAATATGTGTTTATGTGTTTGTGTGCCTGCATGTGTGTATGTATGTTTTTATGCATGTGTATAAGTGTGTGTGTGTGTGTGTGTGTGTGTGTGTGTGTGTGTGTGTGTGTTGCAATAGAATAGAATACAGATGCCCTCACAGGCCAGAGGTTGGGAACCAAGCTCCAATTCTTTACAAGAGTGATACAATGTTCTCATCCGTGAGCCATCTCCTTAGTCCTAAAAGGGAAACCGAAGAGGCTTTGATGTGGGTGCTGTGAACCTACACCAAAAAGGAAAGAAATGTGTACATCTAATGGCTGAGCTACTTCCCCAGTCCTGGGTTAACCTTTATTCATTTTTCTTTAGAGTATTATATGTACCAGGCAGTTTTAGGAACCTTTTGGTTATGTTTCTGATCAAATTACCCAATACATTTCATATATAGATAATATTATTTCATTTGAAAGAACTACCAAGTTCCAGGGAGTTTCAGCACTTTTCTGTGGTTCACAGCCAGAATGCAGTAAAACCAGGATTCGAATTCAGATCCTAATTTAAAAAGCTAAGTCCACCACAATCCTACTAATGTACCACACAGGCCATGTCATTTTTACTTACTGAACAGAAATACAACTTCTTTTAAAAATTACAGCAAAAATACAAGCTAAATATTTATAAGTAACAAAATACCCTAAAAATTTAAAACCTCAAATAATTGTCAAATTATCAAATAAATTGATAATGATAGTCTCTAATTTTCACTTTTTAATATCTATAAATAGTTGTTATTAAAATTTTATTGTATCTGATTATGCAGATACAGATATGAAATACATATTAATGATACCACAATAAAGTACTCTACAGCTTGTGATCAATTTAATTTTGACATACATGCCTTTCTATTAGAAGACATGCAGTTCTGTTATGAGGTCTTGGTTCCACAGATGAATTTATCAATATTTGTGTGGCTACACTGTTTATAGACATACACCTTGTAATCATGGGGAAACAAGCCACACAAACTCAGCCATTGTAGTCCTCTCCATCTTGGAGATGTCAATTTATTTTTCCAATTCAGCCTTAAAATCTTGTCATTGTTCTTAGCGCTCTTCTTTCTCTAACTCTACAGCTAATCCATGGTCCAATCTTATAGACTTGTTAAGGTCAAGGCAGATGCTGGCCATGTCTCAGCAGCTCTTCTCACCATCACACTGCTCAAGCTATCATCCTTTCTGAGTTATTGTAATCACAGTTTATATTGCTGACTGGCAGAAGCCGAGAGTGATAGTTCAACATTTAAGTCAGATAAACTGTGCTTAAAGACTTTCTTGACACCCTCTCTTCTATTCTCTCTCCATATTCCCTCATATAACTCACCTTAAAATATTTGCTATTATTTGAGTAAGTGTCTTTCTTTCCTTGGGTTCTGGGAGTTTTTCTTTCACACCGACTAGGAGCCTCTGATCACATCCCTCCCTCTTTACACTCCTAACTCGTTTCTTCTCTTCTTCTTCAGTTGCCACAGTTTATTTGTATAATGTTGAGTAAATATTTCAAAAAAATACTTCTGGAGAGTGAAGTTCTAGAAGCAAGCGAGCTAACTTCTACACTGGAATGAAATTATCTTCCTCTTCAGATCTCGTGCTTCCACACCCCCTCCTTTCTTGCTTGTTTTATTGCAATGTTCTCTTGCTCTTCTTCAGCATTCCTCTGTGCTCCTGTCTGCTGTTTGACTCAGGAAGGCTGGCGAGCTTTCTCTCCCTTGTGGGAACTCTGCAAGCAAAACAGACTCCAGGCAGCTGGTCTGATCCCAGTGGGCCACTTTGCAAGGCAGTGATGACAAGAGTGACCTTGGAGGATGACCGAGTTGTCATTAAACAATTTAATAGATGAAAGAATTCTCCTCTTCACACTTTGGTCACATTTATTGTCTCCAAATATCTGGCACCAAGTTATAAACACTCATACTGTAAAGAGAGGATTTAAAAAAAAAAATTAAATTCATCATGTTGGTTTAAAATCTCTAGAACATATATAGAAATTGGGGCAGATCAACACAGGGCAAAGAAGGGCAAAGACATTCCGGTTTTCTGTGATTTAACTGTATCATGGAAGCTGCAAGATGATTATTGAATCTGGAGTTTTAGTCATGCCATAAAGCTGCCACCCATCCTGTTTATCACACTCCTTTCAGAAAATCAGACGATTACTGTTTGTGATTTGTATCATGTACAGCATCACTAGAGTAACAGTGATGGGAATAAATACTTAGATGATAAAGTTGTGAAGGTTTTTACCTAGTAAGGCTCGTTGATTTCCTTTTGAATCTTCCACAGACAGGGAAATAAGCCTACAGAAGTTGAATGCTGATTCAAGGTCACACAACTAGTTAATGATACAGGTGGGTCTGCTGACTCCCTGAACAGTGCTCAGTACTATCCACGGAAGAGCGTCTGTGAACACAGCCCTGTGCTAAATGAAGGTTTACCTGCTAGAGAGATCCTGTCCCTTCCAATTGTCCTGACACCCCACAGTTTATTTAGATTACATGATTTGGCCTCATATTTCTTCGGGAGCTAGCGAGGTAAGGATCACCCTATTAGAGTACTTAATTCCGAGCTAATGATCCTTCCTTCCGTCTGAAGTCTTTACGTTCCAGCTTTTTCAAAGGGAACTTGGTGTTGCTTGTCCTTTTCTGCCTGCCGCATGATGTGCACATCAGTGCCTCCCGCAGCCTTCCACTTTTTAATTGCCTCTCCTTCCTAATGAAGGCTGTATCAGCTCCAATGCTAATTGAACTTCGTCCTTCATTCAGACTGTGTTATTAAACAAATAGTCACAGTGTTTGGTCTCACTTTAATGGGAGCATTGATGTTTGCTTAACATCAAAAACTTATTAGCAATCCATTGCAAAGGCAATTAATGGAGGACATGTGGGTAAGGAAATTGAACTAGTCTGCCGCACAGGACAAAGAACAGCAGAGACACCCTGGTTTTCCATGGTTTAACCATCTGTATCCTGGAAGTCCCAAGCTGACTGTTCAATTCTGGACTTTTACTCCAAATCAATGAAGTTATCATGTTCCTTGTATGGGTCTGAGAAACTGTAGAGCAAAGACTTGTCCTCACTTGTCTCCAATCACAAACTTCCTGCCTCTTTAAATCATGTTTCCTAAATCTCTTAGCTAATAAACTTGTATTTGCCATTATGCAAAAACAATGACAGCATAAAAACAAAGACACAATGCCCCTTAGAGTATCATACCCAGAGGTGAGTGTACATAAGAGTTTGCTTTGTGGGGCTCTAGGGACATTGCAGCAGCTAAGAGCACTTAGTGCTCTTGCAGAAGACCCAAGTTTGGTTCCCAGCATGCACATGTTAGCTTACAACCACCCATCACTGCTGTTCCAGGAGATCTGATACCTTTTCCTGATACCCATAGGCACAACACTCATGTGGTGCACCTAGATACACTCAGGCTCATACAAGTGAAATAAAAAAATACATGATATTAAATAAGAGTTTATCTTGTATTCTGTGCTCCATTGTAACACAGATATCTGTCAGTACAAAATTGGTATTGACCAATTGATTGTTTATGTTTTAATTAGTAATTTGTCCTGAGAACCTTTCCTGAACAATAAACTGAGACATGACCAACATATCGAACAAAGAGGACTTTTCTCCTAGTATGGACCAGGCACAGTTTATCTGTTATAAGGTTTTAGACAGTTGCCTCTGATTTAACTGCTTGCACAGCCCCAGGTGGGCATTAGTATTTGGTGAGTAACATTAATACTAGGAACGTGAACAGATAGATGTCTCCATTGTAAAGTAACTGCCCTCAGTTGTGTGAGTAAATGCCATTCTCAGTGTTACTAGAGTACATCATAGCTTCTTTTTCTGGAGATCAGATTTATTTGTTGTATTTAAAATAATGTCAATAAAATGAAGAAATGACAGGAAGTCAATAAGAAAATGTTGCTAGAGTTGTAGATTTTCTTCTACTTCTGAACCCCTGAGAAAAGTGATACCTGGGTCCAAAGGACAAACCAACTTTAAAAATGTGAACCTCAAGGTATTTGGCAAATGAGTAATGCAGAGAAGCCCCAATTTTTCCTCCTCCTCCTCTTCTTCTTTTTAAACAATCCATGTTAAATATATTTGAGAGAACAGCCAATACTGGATCACTTCATTTACTTCAGGGACCTTGGATGTGACTGTGAAACTCCCATCTGTGTTAATATGAGTCATGCATGGCTAGTCCCTGGGCAATGTTTAGTGAATAGATGGTGTGGCTGCCTAGTAGGGACCCTTTTTGATAGAGCTATTGTTGGGAGGAAGAAACTGTATGTACATGTACTCTGGTTTACTTAGGATTATAATGCATAAACTGTTAGTAATAGGTTTAAAGGATTAGCATAGGCCAGCTTTCCATGTGATTGCCCTTTATATAAAAAAGTTAAATGCTACTTCTAATGCCATCATAAAAGTAAGGCTGGAGGATTATCGATTTTTGGAGGCTTTTACGAGATAGTTTGATAAGCGACTCTCTCAAGTTTTTAGTACTTGGCCCTGGTTTGTTGTTTACCTTGCTCAGGCAATTTGGTGTAATTAATTTTAATAGCTGTATTTACTTCTAGAGTTTGTACCTCAGTGGAGAGCAATCTCTAATCCAGACCTCAAATTCTTCTTTGAATTAAAAGCACACAATTATTTCAAATGAGTATCTTGTTCGTAAAAATTAAATGAAGAGAGCGAATGCAAAAACCTTTAACATGTTTACAACTATATGAAGTAGGAATGCAGAATAGGGCTGTAAGAAAGAATAAAAGCAACTAATGAGGTTGGTGTTGAAAATTACCTATGTATTTTAGTAAAGAATAAATAAAACTTCCATAAACAAAAGCTTAACAGTGTGATTTTTAATTCTTCCCTAATGTGGTGAGTTGGTTTTTATTTAACTAAAGATTTCTTGAAAAAAGTCTTTGATCATACTATGTGATGAATGTAATCATTCAGAGATTACATGCTACTTTGTAGATGTCTAAGAGGAAAGGGAAAACAGCGGTGGGATCATAAAATATACAACCAAGGAGAATAGCCATTCTCTGATGCTTTTCTCTCTCTCTCTCTCTCTTTTTTATGGACTAGAGAGATACAAACTAATTGGGAAGTTTGATACCATACCCATTTAAAAGAATATAAGTAATAGATTCACCCCTGAGGCCTATGAACTTCCAACTATGATTTTTGGGCCAAATATACAGTATGAAACATACATTTCATCCTATGTAGCTGGCTTTAAATCCAGACAGAAAATGGTTGGTTACCTCCATAACATTTCTGCCTCTTTTGCACCTGTATTGAGATACTGCTGATGCTTTTCTTTCTTCCTCTTTATGTACACACACTTTCTAGCAGTTGGATTTTTGGGAGGACACATGTCAGCATGTGATACTTCTTCAGTACATTGTAGGTTGACACTGTATTCTTGCTCGCTGCATCACTAGGGCAGATATACAATTAAAAATAAGAATGAATCGTAGGATTCTATTTTTCATTTGCTAGATGATATTTTCTTAAATATTTTGAAACTGACTTTAATATAAATCATGTTGTTGGGAAACATCATAAATGAAAATAACATAGAGGCATGTGAATAGTACATTTCAGCATTTGGGAAACTGAGTCAGGTGGACCTGGAGTTTAAAGCCAACCTGGACTACATGGTTAGAACTTGTTTCCAAAAAGAGGAGGCAAGAATAATCAGCAAGCACTTCATTCAGAAGTATTATCAAAATGTTGTCATTTTTATTTTTTCTCAGGTTTTTATTCTCCAAATTAAGTGCATATTTGTATTTATTTATTTTTGCTGTTATAATCAAATAACATTGTGATAAAACCTGTGTATTCATTTGTATTTGGTTTTATTTCCTTAGGTTTAATTCAGATTACTTTTAATTTCTCTGAAGTTTAGAGGTTTCTGTGAGGCCTGAGAGAGGAATTATGCCATTGAGCATGCTCATTAGAGAACAAGAACCCATACTCTCCAACAATCCTTTCCAGTACTGGTTCTGGCTTTATGCAGATGGTTTAGGACTGTATCTGATTAGATTATAATTCTCATGCCTCTGGTTGATATTAGGGTTTACAGGAAGAAGAGTTAGAAAATGCTTGTATGTAAGATACTTCTAAAAGTGTGTAGAAAATAAAAGATTGCTTGAGATTGTTATGTGATATAAATATTCTGATCTATAAGTTTGATTTTTTTATCCTTGTGGGGGAAGCATGAATCAGAATATCTGGAGTATTCTTTCTCTAAAGGAGAAGACAGGTTCAATAATGGAGACTCACAAATGGAAGAATAAAAGAAATACATAGTTTTGCTTTTGCAAACATACTGAAGTGGAAAATAGAAAAGCCAGAATCAACAATAGCAACAACAAAAAAAATACCACATCCATTTGGACTAAAATACATGTATATATAACACAACTTTCCAAGCATAAAACGGAAAGTCTAGCCAAGGGAATGAAAGAAATACCTTTTAAAAAACTGCTGAAATAGGCCTGTTGTTGAAATAGTTTTATTTCCCCTTTAGAAGATCTATTTACTGCAATTCTGGGAGCGAGAAGGACGATTTTGAATAAAGAATAGAGCCATTTAAGATGTTGTGCACAGTGCCAGAATTTATGAAGACCAGTTCGAATTAAAACTAAATGTCATCCAGTAAATAGAAACCAACAGAAATGTACATTTCATTTATTGTATTGGGAGTTGGGGAGGGCAGCAGGGATGGGCTTACACTAAACAGAACTCTTTTATATGGCACAGATTTTTATATGGAGAATGTACACTTCACAAAGTCATGCCTTCAATACTAGATGTTCAGTTTAATTCACTAGCTTCCAAAAGTTGAAATCCTACCTTTTCTTTTGACACAATGCAAGGGGAAATGCATGCATTCTTTCATCAAATTTGTAGTCACCACCTCTTTTTTGCTGGGTGTTATTCTACCCACTTATAGGGTCATTGACAAGTCAGGAGATTCTTGTCTTTGGGTGTTTCTAGAAACAGGAGATAAATAACATATTACAAGAAAGGGGTATGCTGTGGTTAGTTTTAAATATCAACTTGACAAAATCTAGAATCACCTGGGGAAAGAGTCTCAATGAGGGACTGTCTAGATCAAGTTGGCCTGTGGGCTTGTGTGGTAGGGGGACTATCTTAATTGCATTAGTTAGTCATCATGGGAAGACCCCATCCACTGTGGGCGGCACAACTCCCTAGGTTTAGGTAAATGTAGAGAGAGGACTGAGCACAAGTAAGCATGCCTCTATTTAACCTCTCTATGCTCTTTGCTGCTGTGATGTAACGGCTCCTTCTGCTCCAACTTCCCCACAGTGACAGACTATAAGCTGGAATTGTGAGATAAAATAGACCCATTCTCCTCAAGTAAGGGTATTTTATGACAGCATGCAGTAAAAATGAAACTTGAACAGGATGCCTTTTCTGCTGACAGTTAAGGTAGGGTTATTGGGAAATCCTTGTTTAATGGTCAGGGAAGGTCTCTGTTTCTCACTTGGGGGTCTTCCAAGACAAATTCTTAAGTCTACTCATTTTCCCTGCATTTAGATTATGACTGCTTGTAAAGGCTTTCTCTAATGATTGGCATTGACTGAAGAACTTTAAAACTGAAAAAAAAAATCAGTTTGCAAAAAAAAAAAAAAAAGCTGGAAATGCATGTTTTATAAACCAGAGGCTCAGGTGCACTGCCATTTTCTCAGCTCTGAGAAAATCATAAATTATTTTCTATTAGCAGGAATTACTATAGCTCTAGATGTTCATGATTGTTACACAGGAGATTCTTTTTTTCCTAAACATCAAGTAGCTGCCAGTTTTAATTTTCTTTTCAAATTTACACATTAAAAACATTGTTTTAGCTGTTGAACAAAACTGTCTTTTATATCCAAGGGACAGAACCAGGATATAAAATGCACGTTTTGGTTTGATTTCTTTCCCTCCAGCCTGGCTCTCTGGTGAAAACCACCCTTGTATTTGATAATTAGAAGGCTGGTGTTCAATATTAATAATGAGTGGAAAAATCAAATTCCAGTTTTCCTCTTTAATAACGTCACGCATGGAAGTTGTATATTCAAGTGTTTGGGGGTGAGGACAGCCTCTTTTCTGGTCATGTAGTTCCTTGGATCACTAGGGAATCTCAAGGACCAGCAACATGGCAGAAAGTGAAGTACATATTCAGTGTTTGTCTTATGTTAGATGTGGCACTGGGCAGGGATAAAAGAGTGGATAAACAGTGACATCCGTGACTACCCTCCTCTAGATTATGTTCGAAGTGTGTGGGGTAGACAGTAGATACATGAACTGGTAGCACGTGGTGGTGAGTGCTAAGAGGAAAATTTGCCAAGAAGGGATAAAGAGATATGTTGGCTATGAAGGGGGCAAATTTTGAAAAGAGACAGCTTGGAAGAATCTTGGCGGGTTGCTAATGTGCATATGGGAAGCAGGTGAGGCAGCATGCTAATATCTGCAGTGATTATAACAGCACAGGCAAGCACCGTGAAGCAGGGGCATATGACTACCAAGGCAGCAGTGAGACTATTGAGACTAGAGAGCAGGAAGGGATGAGCATGGGCTCACATAAATTGGTGTGTGTGTGTGGGTATATGGACCATGTAGATTCTTTCAAGCCTTTACAAAGAATCTGGCTTTTGGAGGAATCAAGCATGCAGTTGTTTTAGGGTGATGTGCACAGGAATTTCATGCTCTTATTTCCTGAGAATGCACTCAAATGGAGAAAATATCAATGAATGAACTCAACTGGATTCACTGTTTCAATGTTCCAGACAAGCATTGGTGGTAATTTGGGCTAGCATAGTAGCAATAAAGGTGGTAAGATGCCATCTAACCCTGGATGTTTGGAAAACAGGGCCAAATGTTCTATTGTTGGGTTAGAGGCCTATAAGGCAAAGAACACAGTTAGGATGGATCTAGTTTCTTGACAAACGCAAGTGGAATGGTGCAGTTACTGTTTAGAGATAATGGAATTTTGGGGATGGGGACACAGTGGCAGTTTTGGAAGAGGATGAGAAACATGGTTTTTGGACATATGCATGCATACATTCCCCTTTGTCTACATGGAGCAAAAAGCAGAAAACTGGAATGACAGAGTCAAACTGGAAGTATAAGTTTGAGATCAGCCAAAGCTTTGCCTATGAATGTCTGTTGCCTTCTAGGCTTGTTGCTAGAGACTTGCATGAAAATTGTGTTTTTGGTACCTTTGAGGTCCTAGTTCTAAAAAGCACCTCTCAAATTGTTTCAGTGCACCAATACTGGATTACTGGATTGGGAATATGATCTATCTATCTATCTATCTATCTATCTATCTATCTATCTATCTATCTATCTATCTATCTCCTATCATCATCATCATTTGTCTATTTATATTTTCAATAATATATAAATTTTCCCAAATCAATAATATATAACATCTAGCCACATAGTTGCTTGACATCCTCATTGTGGAGTGTATAGGTGAAGGCTAGAGGGTCTGATATTGCTTGGTCAGCCACAAGAAAACAGAGAGTTTTGTTTCTGTTTGTGCCATTCCTCTATGAGTAGGCTTTTTTTGAGAAGGTTTTTGTTCCTTTTTCAATGGATGCATCTCAAAGTTGATTTTGATTTTAGACTCCATGATGTAATAACCTGTAATATTTATACAGAAATTCCATCTCTTTCTAAGAACATTACAGACATTCATTAATTGCTTGCAATCTTACCCCACAAGTCAAAAAAAGCTATATTTGCATTCATCATAAATTTTTCAACAGTGAGGATTTGAACAGTAGAGTATATGTCTATCAAACACCTGGCCAGTCAGGAAGAGAGGGATTCATAGTGCACATAATGATGACAACCTCCTCTTCATTAACTAATATTATTGTAGCACTTCCAGCACTCTCCTCATAAAAATTAGAGGCTTTAATGAAAGAGGTGTTCTCATTCCCTAGAGATTACAACTGATGCTCGTCAACTTGATGAACAGATGGGAGAGGGAAGCACCAAGAGTGTAACTGAGGAGGTGGGCCAAAGCTCCCTTAAATGCTTTTTGAAATGAAAGTAGAGGATTGTCATACCAGGAGACTTTAAAGATGTGCTTGGGCATTTGATGGAATGAGAATAGAGGGATTGAGTGAATGAATATAAAGACAACTTCATTTTTGCCTGCACTGTTAGAAATTTCAGACAAAAATGTTTTGTTTCACATTTAAAAAAATTCACTATTGACCACTATGGTATCCCTTTTAGCACTTTATAACTTCAAGGGGATAAAATGATATATAAACTAGACTACCATATGTGTTCTTATGGAAATTTCTAGGGTAGCATTTGAGCATTTACCTTGTTCTAGGAAGTCTATGACCGCAGAGAACATTTTCATTGGTTTCAACACTCCTATTGATAAAACTAAGACATAGCAAGAATAAGTTTTATACCATTACATAGTTGGTGCATTGATGCATGGTAGGTCGTTTGGCAGAAGAAATCCACTATGTTTTGGTTTAGCTTTGTTTTGTGTGTGAAGTATTTGTGATGAAAGGACTTCTTGGATTGAATAATTCACACTAGTCACTTAGAACAACACAACTCAATCTATTGCCCTTTACCTGGGAACTGAAATGCATATATCCAAAATGATGTCACAGGTGAGAGGAATGAAATTCATAGTAGTATATATTATTTTCCTTCAAGATTTTTGCCTTGGGCAAATAGGAGTTGGATTACTCTAGTCTCAGATCTTCTCTTTCTCAGTCATCTATATTTAATGAACTTTGTTGGGTTTTGGAGATAAATCTTATTTCTTAGGTATTTGGAGATAATAATACAAGACTGGCCTTGGGCAAAATTGAACAACATGATGAGTTAGGAACCTTGGATGTTCCCACCTCTGAATATTACACTGCCCTGTTTCTCCATAGATTTATAAAACTCTGCTCTATTCCTTTCAAACAAATACAAACAAGTTAAATTCAACTCCAGGAGTCTATTTTTCATGAAGTGATCTCATTCATGGGTCAGAACATGGCCCACGTCTTCAAGGAGCTCTCAAAACACTTTGAAAAAAAAAAAAGAATCTTTCAAGAATTATTCATTATGATGTCATGGGTGGAGTGGGTACTTTCTTGTTGCATAGAGCTGGGCTTTACTTCCAACCTAATCATCCATAAATTGTGGATGACATCTAAAATATTCTAAACACTGTGAATTCATTTTTCTTTCGAAATAGTATTAAAATTATTGCATGTATTTAAGGCATGTGTTCTGTGCATGTTACTTGACAGATACATAATAAATACCAATTGTTTGTTAATGTTCAATCAATAGTTATTTATGTTACTTGTGGGAGAGATTATAGTAAAATGCAAATGCTGTAAGTGTTAATATGAAAATAGAATGAGTACTATCTCATGCCGAACCTCAAGTAACAGCACAAGTGCACTTATTTTCAGATTCCTTTTCCTGCGTGTCTATACTTATTGGTGAGTAGAACAGCAGCTAAAGTGTGTTCCTTAGTGCCCCTCATTAGAGTCCTGTTCTCGTAGTTATTGACTCTACCTACCCTCTTGATCTTTGTCCTGTGCTTCCAGAAATCGAACTGGCCATGACTATTGCCCCCTCTGTCTTGTAAGTTTCTTCTTGCTGCTTTCCCACATCTGTTCCTCTGTGAGATGCAGAATTGGGGCACAGCCTCCCTGAAATAGCAGTGACCTGAATCTAGCTCTCCTGGGAACAGAGGAGAGGGGTGGATTCCAAAATTAAGTCTAAGTAAGGAGCAGAGGGAGGGAACTGTTTTATCCAAAGTTGTGAACACAGAAAAAAAAAAGAGTTCTCCAGTGGGGGATGGGAAAAGGTGACAAGTCTGGGCAATAGAGGTTGGCATCTTTCAACTGTTTGACACATGTGGTGTTTATAAAAATGGAGAGATTTTTATAATTACATCCATAAAAGCCAATAGAAGTAGAATTCTTGTCTCCATTTCCCATTCTTACTACTTGTTAGAATATATAAAGCCAGAATACTTGGAAGTTGAAGAAGAGATAGTCTGGACAGTGAGGAAGAGAAAGAGACACAGATTGCCCATCTAAGAGATTTCTGTGAGGATATTTAGTGTTTTCTGTCCTTAGTCTAAAATTCCAGGAATACAAAGGATGCATGTGAGGAAATTTATATTATAGAGCGGAGGATAATGGTGCTACTTACACTTGGGTATTAGCTGCAAGGGACCTTAGACATAGAGGAAAACAATAGCTCTATGGAATGAGGGAGCATGGAAGGATAATGGTAGGATTGTGGAAGGCTGCAAGGGGAATAAGAACAAGGGCTGAGAAAAGGCCTTATAGTACTGTGACGACGTGCCCCTTAGAGACATTCAGACATGGCCATTGGTATATTTCACTGTGGGGGGGACAGTGAGTGAGTAGCTCAGAGAGAGAAGCAAACATGAACTATTCATGCAAGATCTTGGGTGGTGAAGAGAAGGAAGGAGGCTGGTAGGCAGAAAGCAAAAGACAAATTCTGGGATGCAAAGGCAGGTTGATAAAAGAGACAACTTCAGCTGGAGAGGAAGGTATAGTGTAGTGGTTTGCAGTAAAAAGCGAAGGAGCAGAAGCAGGAAGGACAGTGGTCACTTCTCAGAGAAGAAACAGCCCTGAGTTCTCAGTCCAGGGGAAGGAATGCAGATGAGGGACAAGTGAGAAAGACAAATTAGTGATTAGGGTTAAGGAGAAAGCAAAGCCTTCGTGTAAGTGTTTGAAAAACTGTTAGTTTTGTTTTGGGGCAGTTATAATCCCACATGAGGGGTACAGTGGACATTCATACTGGACCACATCAGCCAGGTTCACCTTTCCCCACTAAATGTTTATAGACATCTTATGCATTCTGGCATTTATGTTCTTGTAGCTGAATTGATTATAGTATCATCAATGTAGAAATCTTGACCTGACTTCTAAACACATCAACATTATCACCTGGATTATCCAGGATTGTGTTTCCATAGTCTATCCCTCGTTAGCAATTTAGGTGTAATTATGTATTATGATAAAGAACGGTGTAAGTTTTAAGGACTGATGATGTCCACAGCATCATACAATCTAACCCATTAGGTTGATTTCAATTTCTTAGCAGCCAATAGTTTTGTGTCTCTGTTGCTTTGGTGAGGACATGACCTTCCCCATAATGATGGAATGATTCTATTTCTATAGCTCTGTCTCTAGACAGGTATGCAGAGAGCAGAGATTTAGGAAACCTTAGTTTTTCTTTTTATCTAGCTTCAGCATATTTTTATCTTATGGAGTGTAAAAATATGCATCTTGGAAATACGGAGCTTCAGAAATGAATATAGTTGTAATTTTAAAGTTCTTAGGATAGTGAAAAACTACAAGAGTGTGTATGTAACATGTTAGTCACAAGTCCAGGGAAACTCATTGGTTTATTTAGCAAATAAGAAGAGATGTTTCTATTAATTACATTTGTTCTTTGACATTTTCATATATATCCATAATGCATTTTGATTGTAGTTCTTACCATCTATCACTTCTCTTTTTTTCTGTTTGTTTACCACCCTCTTACTTTCATTACTAATTTCCTTCTTATGTTCATGTCCATTTGCATTGTTTGTGTTCTCTGGGGTTTGGCCAGGGCCCAATGCATGGTAGGATTGGAATTACCTTTTGGAGACCAATGGAGTCACCAGTGGGTACCAACAAAAAATAATGGCTCCCCTTCTCCCGGAGCTTATAAGTAGCCAATAGTTCAGCAAAAAGGAATAGGATCCTGTGAGTCCCTCCTCATCCACTTCCACTCTTGGAAGAACCTATCCTTTTCTGGCCCAGTGCAAAAAGCCACAGCTGCTCTGGTTTTGTCGTTATATTGGTTGGGTTCCATCTAAAGGATTAGATTTTTGCTGCCCTTCTACCTGTCTTCCAGATCCTGTATTCTTTGTGCACTCTTCTTCAGTGTCCCCCGAGACTTAGAAGGAGCAGTATGAATTACTAAGGTTTATTTATTTATTTATTTTTATTGCAGAATTTCTAGTAAGGTATTTATTTATTTACTTGGGTTTATTTATTTTGATGCAAAGTCTCATTCTTAATAGCCAATGCTGGCCTCGAACTTGGGGAAATCCCCTGCTTTAGATTTCCAAGTGCTAGGATTAGAGGTTTGAATCACCATGGTTAGCTTTAAAAGAAAAGCTTTAAAAAATAGCATTCAATTTAGATTACAATGTGTGAGAGCAGGTGAGAAAAAGTACAAGATTGATAATGTGGATGGGGAAAGTTCGAGATAAGACAAACACAAAGCTTTAGGCCTGAGTCTGAAGATCTCAAACATCCCAGATGTTAATCATGAGACATCACACCAACACTAAGGCAGGCTCCGCTCTGTAGTGTATAAGGTGCTAGAGAGTCAAGGGACGGTAACTTTAGTTAGAAATGGTTGATGTGGACCCAGCTTTTGCTGTACTTCATAGGAAACAGCACACATGTGTTCACTTTGTTTCTACAAAGAGCTCATGCATGGCTGTGGGGCTAGGATAAAGGATTCCTTTATTTGCTTTAAAAAGAAACAATCAGCTTGTTGATTTGAACAGAGCTTCTGAATCAAGAAACATTTAGAAAGCTGTGTTTAAATGCTTCATTTACACCCTATGGGGAAGCCCCTCAAATATGTGGCTTCCAGAAGGGAGTGGTGGGGACAGCAGTAAAAACACAGCCCTGTGGCACCTGATCATCTGCACACAAAGCCTCAAGTGAGAAACTTCCGAGTTTGGTGTTTGCAGATACGCTTTGTGCTCTAAGTCATAGACTGTTCCGCCTGAATTGCATTGCGTGCAGAAGCAAGGGCAGATGATGACAGACAGCCCCGTTGCCTGTCAGCCAGACGAAACCCACCATAATGAACAAACAAACAACAAAACCCAAAACAGAAATAAAAATCCAACACCAAGCAACAATCCCCCACCACAAAACTCTCCCAAACCAAAGGATGAAACAAAACCAAAGCAAATATAATAGCAATTAATAAAAAAAGAAAACCTCACCCCACTCCACCCCAAATCACAAACTTAAATCTTCAGCAGGTATATTTTACTTCTTAAAAAGCAGCTTTAATTTGTATACTTCAACGCTCATCATATACATTTAATAATACAGATTAAGTCTTCAAACTGGGGAATCTTAAAATACTTATCTCCTTCATAACATTTTCATAGCCCCAAACTCAGATTATTATTATTTTGACGTAATGCTAGAAAGTGAACCCAGGGCCTCACAGATGCCGGCTAAGCTCTCTGCCATTAATCTTTGCCCTCAACCCTGACTCTTACGTTTAACTGGAGATAGATCACTGTATAAAGTAGGCAGCATTTATGAAGTGATTACCATGGGCTAGCTTTCGAACCTTTTTTAACTCTCAAAACAATGGGGTGAGTTACCAACAGGCTGCAGCAAGAGCACACAAGTGAAGTGGAAGAGGCATCTGATGGAGATAAAGGAGACAGCTGAGCCCAGAAGGGAGGGGCTTTGGTTTCCTCTGTCCTCCTGACCCAGGTGTCTTTGTGGAGAACATCAGCTGGGATGAGGCAGGCTACTGAATTGTTCCTGTTGTACCACATGAGAACTTCAGCACTGGAAGGAAAGGAGGGGTCACAGCACAAGACACACCTTGGCTTCCAGGCAGATTTTTACCCACTGGCATTTTGGTTAGGTCTGTAGAAACCTATACAATTCCTGAGGTTTTTCTTCAGTTTTGCCTCCTTATTAGTTATGTATTGATTCGTGTACAATTCCTCCTCAGGCTGTGTCCTTCCTCAGTGATTTGACAGTGTGACCTAACTCCTTTGTTATGACACTACTCACAATTATAGCAGCTACTATTCATTTGCGGGATCTCACATGGCATGCACAGCTTTTTAGTGGAAATTACCAATAGCTAGTTATTATTTTAAGGTTTATAACTGATTATATAGCTCCCCACAGAAATAAGTTTATTTCCATCAACTCATGAATAGCTTGTA